CACCTTTACCTTTTCACCATTTTTTACTTTCTTGTAACCCCTCTAATCTTTGACACATGGGTGGTTGGTGGGTTCTCTGGTGTGGTTTGCACCTTCTTTCCTATCAAACATCTATCGTCTTTATCTCCTTCTTTTTTGTGTTTATTACTCCCTTGTAAATTTTATAACTTATATGACCTAATTGTGTCGAAAGTGCCTTGAAACTCTTACTAAAACTATACGTGAGGCAGCGTGGTGGAATCAGGCTCTCGTCAAAATAATGACATCAAAGATATTGGCATTTTTCTGCCCTTTTGGCAATGTTTATCTTTTTTTTTTAAGCTGAAAAGATTTTATGTCCATTTAAAAACACATTTTCTCCCTTATTTTTCTTCTGAAATCAGGTTACCCTACTTACTTCAATCACAAATATTTCGACTTCTGTTAAAGATAGATGGGTACTTTTTTTCCCCAAAAGATAGACAGATTAACTGGCTTTAAGGTGACACCAATAACTCTACATGCCCAAAAATTGACGAGTGCCTGATTCCACAACGCTGCCTCACATACATTTTTTGGTACTCATATGACCTGGTTATGTCGCAAATGCCGTGAAACTCTTACTAAAACTATACATTTTTTGGTACTTATATGACCTAATTATGTCGCAAATGCCGTGAAACTCTTACTAAAACGAAATGGACGTGCCTTTGTAATCTTCATTGTGTTGTTTTTGATTTGTTTTGTCAGTCTGAGCGACAAAAGAGCAAAGAGGCGGTTCAGAAACTGGACGAGTCGATCGGGCTGATAGAGAAACAGCTGGCGGAGAACAAGAGGCAGTCAGACAAAGTGGTGGCCGCCGAGATAAAATCCAGGTAATCTAACCTGTTGTTGTTGTTGGTGGTGGTGGTTGTGTTGTTGTTGTTGTTGTCGTTGTCGTTTTCTTTGTCGTTTTCTTTGTCGTTTTCTTTGTCGTTTTCTTTGTCGTTTTTTGTTTTTGTTGTAATTATTGTTGGTGGTTGTGGTGGTGGTGGTGGTGGTGGTTGTGTTGTTGTTGTTGTTGTTGTTGTTGTTGTTGTTGTTGTTGTTGTTGCTGTAATTGGTGTTGTTGTTATTGTTGGTGGTGGTGGTGGTTGTTGTTTTTGTTGGTGGTGGTTGT